GTTATTAACTAAGACTGGAGACAAGCATGATCCCATAGCTAAGCCTCCAATTTGCTCACATAATTTACGATTAAGGGTAAAATATGCACTATTCTTTATCCCATGATTGACTCCTTGTTCATCGTATTTTCCGAAATAATCTCTTGGTGTATATTTAAGGTTAGTTTCAAAGTTTGATCTGACCCTAGAATAACTCACAGTGGTTCTTCTGGTACATAAGATAAGCAAGGAGTACATTACAAGATTAATGAACTTGCTAATGAATAGTACATATTTTAAAGAGAATGCTTCCACTGCTTTGTAACTCTGTGCGGCATGCTTTCCACAAAGCTATTTCCATATGGACTAAAATGTATTTTGCATTCGGCCCCGGTTTCGTCACCGCTCTTGTCCGTATACGACACTGCCAGAGTAAAACACAATACCCCCTTTGCTGCACAATCGTTTAAAAGCAAAACAGGTCTCTCCTAACTCAGTCATAACCACTACCATAATCGTTAGGGTAAATACGAGTCTGTCTTATCCAAGTATGTAGTAGAGTCTCGACTTTCTTTGAGCATTATATCTGCCCTCTGGCTTGCTCACTGGCCTCCTTTGCCTCGTGGCCCAATAGTAACATTGCCGCTTGACGCCATCGGTCCGGTTTCAATTCCAATTCGTAGGCTGCCAAGATCAAGACGAAGTCGAACCTGTCGTCCGGCTTCGATAAGAAACCACGCTATTTCGATTTCTTATACAAAACTGGACTGGCCTGTCTCCGCATTGGTGAGTACATTCGCCACGATGATATGAGCTGACCTGTTCCTTTAATTTTTACCTCTTTTATCCTCCTAGCGTTCATGTTCACTTTTCGTACCTCATGAAAAAGAGTCGTTCTCAAGAAGAGGATGTAAATATGGTTTACAGTTTGATGTCTTCTATCTTTTTACTTTACGATTGTTAAAGGGGGATAACTTTTATGTGCTTAGGAGAGTTGCTTTAAAAATTCAGCACAAATCTACGGCGTAGAGACAATAGTTTGATGGTTACTAATTTAACATGTGAAGTTGAATATGCTGTCACTTTTTCATATTCTTTAGCTCGGCATGGATGTTGCCGAAGGTCACCTCAAACTGGAGATAATCCTTCCTGGCGTGAACGTCATCAAGAAGACCTTGCGCAATGAAGATCCGGCTGCGCCGAACGGCACATTTGCTGATGGTCTTTGGCATAGTGTCGACTTAAGCATTTATCCAGACACCGTGGATATGAAAGTTGACAATAGACAGTACACCGTGCTGCAGAAGTTCACGCAACAGGTGAGTGTTGACGGAACAAGGTCTTTGAACTCCAGAATCACCAGATTACAGATCGGGGTTTCAGACTCAATGGCATTTGCCAGGATCAGGTAGACTGGTCCTTCAAGAAAGCATATACATATTTCACTAAGCGGTTAACGATACTTTTTAATGGAAGCTGAGTCGGTGGCTATCTCTTTCTTTAGTTTAAAATACATTCTTTACGGAGCTCTTTTGTCTGAAGATCTGAACGTGGAATGACTGACTTTTCATTTGTGTAAATGAAGGGATCCCGAAACTATCAAGAATTCTCAGATTAGCAATTAGTCACCATAGTTCGTTTAATCTGATTCAAGGACTGATAACTTTGATAGGAATAGGCCTTGAGATGTTATAGAAGCTAAATTAGCCTTGCCCTTAGAAATGCTTTCTTATCCAGTCAGAAATTCAGTTTTGACCTCGTCTAGATCGCATC